GCAGGTATGGAGTCTTTCAGTGCTGGAAAGATAAGTTTGGTTCTTGGGGAAAGAGTTAGGAAGCCTGATTGTGGTTGTACTTTCTAAACCAAATTCTCCAGTCAGCTTTATCTGTTATGAAGTTATTTTAATCTCTAGTGGTTTGACCCCTGTATCTTATTTCTCATTTGATTCCAAGCATAGAGAGAAAGACTGGGAACAAGGATCACTCTCAAATTCCAATGTTGGTGAATTAATGAGAGAGTCAGCACGGAGTTGATTGGACTAAACGGTCTCTAAGTTTCCTTCAAGCTCTAACATGCTGTGATTCTATGAGTCCATTTCTCTGGGAAAAAACCAAACTCTTAGCAAACAACTTCTTAATCTCTGACTCTCCTCCTTCCTGCTTCTCAATACAAAGAAGACCTCAAATCCTCAAACATCTTCCTCTCCTCCCCTCTCCACCAGCCCCTCGTGGCTTCATTTACTCCCTGTTCTGGTCTGGACCCCGTGATGAATCCCTTCACTCCTCCCTCAGTGATACCCATAACCTCTGGCTCCTGCCCTGCCAATCTCTTGTTCTAGATCAGCCCACCCATCAACCTTCTCCTCCAGCACTGAACTCCCTTTCATCTCTGAAGAAAGCCTGTCTTCAGGGGAGAGAACAAAGCCAATACACAGAGTGGCAGAGGGGTGTGCGTGTGGGGGGGTGTGAGAGGGAGAGACAGACAGACAGGATGGGGAGGGGGAGGGAGACCTAGCCCCATGATGCCTGTGGCCAACACTATCCCTGCCCTTCCCCATGATTGAGTTTTGTGAGCCAAAAACTGTTAAGAGAAGATCTGGCCATCCCCTTTCTCTCCTCCCCCTTCCCGCTGGCCTCTCTCCATGTTACTTCCAAGGAGACTGGTTCACCCAGCTGGCTTTAAGCTCTGGGATAAATTGGAGGCTTTCAGTCCTTCTTTATCACCAGAGTGGTAACAGCGGAGATCCACACTTAGGGGAAAGGGAAAAGTTGGACCCAGTGGTTCTCAGTCAGAGGTATCCCCCACCCAGGGGACATTTGGCAATATCTGGAGACATTTTTGGTTGTCACACTGAGAGGAGAGTACTTCTGGCCTCTAGTAGGTAGAGGCCAGGGATGCTGTTAACATCCTACATAAGACACCCCCCCACAACAAAGAATTATCCGGCCCCAACTGGCGATGGTGCTGAGGTCGAGAAGTCCTGGATCAGACAGCTCAGCCCCCTCTGGTCTAGGCTCTAGGCTGTCTCTAACCCAGGCCAAAAGAGCATTCCACATGGGCCCATCTTGGTCTGGGCTCTACAAGGAAGAAGGAGGGGCAAAGATTCTTAGTAATTCGAAGTTTCTGACCTCTGTGCTTCCATTTCCTTTAGAGACCTGGTGGAGAGAGGTGGCTACTCACAGGGACAGATCCCCTTCCATCTCCTGGCCAGATACCATCTGAACTCCACCTGAGTTTAACATATGGCAGGGTTTAAGCAGGTTTGACACAGGGTCCTGGCATGGAGGGCATAGTATGAAGAGAGAACAAGCCTCCTACCCTGGAGAGGTCTGCAAGGTTCAGGTCCTTGTGTTGGTGAGAATAAGGACACATTTCAAGGCCCCAGCAGGCCTATCTAGAACTTTTACCCATAAGAAATTCTCCATGAGCTGGGCAAGACTCACTCCAGTATGTATATTATTTGGCTCTCAGATTGTTTGTGCCAAGCTTTGGCAGGTGGTACAAGACTGGCTGCCCCAGATTCTTGACAACTTTAGCTGCTTTTGAACTGTATCCAGGGTCAAGGAGGGAACATACTGTGATGGTGTCAAGTCTGCACAGGAGGGCAAAAAAAAAGATGGTATCTTAAAGGGAAGCTGAGATACCCAAAATGCCAGGCTCAGGTTAGGCAGTGGCTGGGTCCTGGCCTTGCACATCTCCATCTACCCCCTGATCACTGCTGTGGCTGTGGCCAGCAACTCAGAGACCTTAGCTCACTCTCCACCAGCCACACTGCATGTCCTGCTGTTCCTCTAACACCCCAAGCTCATTCCTACTCGGAACCTTTGCACTTACTGTTTCCCCAACCTTCAGCATGACTTGCTCCCTTGTGTCTTCAGCTCTCTGACCAAATGCCATCTACCCAAGAGGGCTCTCCCTGACCAGCCCATCTAAAATGCCCCTCTCTAGTCCTTAATTCTGCCTTCCTTGTCTATATGATGTTTCTACCCCAAATCATATTTTGTGTTTGTTTGTTTATTCATTTATTGTCTGTTCCTTTAATATGGCAGGGATTTTGTCTTGTTCACAGATTTATCCCTGATGTCTAGAATAGAGGCTCATAAATGGTTGGGTTCAAATCCTGGCTCCACTAACTGTGGGATCTTGGGCAACTTACCTATCATTTTTTTCTTTCATATTCCTCAGCTGAAAAATGAGAATAAGAATTATATCTGCCTTAAGGGTTGTTATGAGAACTGATTGAATCAATGTATATAAAATCTTAGGTCGGGGCTTCCCAGGTGGCACAGTGGTTAAGAATCCGCCTGCCAATGCACGGGACACGGGTCCGAGCCCTGGTCCAGGATGATCCCACATGCTGCAGAGCAACTAAGCCCGTGCACCCCAACTACTGAGCCTGCACGCTAGAGCCCGCGAGCCACAACTACTGAAGCCCGTGCTCCTAGAGCCCGTGCTTGGCAACAAGAGAAGCCACCACAATGGGAAGCCCATGCACCGCAACGGAGAGTAGCCCCCACTCACCTCAACAAGAGAAAGCCCGCATGCAGCGAGGAAGACCCAACGCAGGCAAAAATAAATAAATAAAATTAATTAAAAAAAAACTTAGGTCAATGTCTGGGCCACAGGAAATAATTAGTATTAACTATGAATATTATTATAATTATTATACTCCCAGGAAGCCCATGACCTGTGTACTCTGAGGAGTGGGGAGTGGCATTCCAGGAATGAAGCAGTCATTGTTACTTCGCGCAGGCTCCCAACCGGAGTCCTTTTCTCTCCTCTGCACCTGCTCTCTGTTGCCCTCTGGAGGTCCTGGCTGGACACTGGTGAAAGCCGACTGTGTTAGGGGCTCGGCAGATGATGTATTTCCCGGGGAAGAGTGAGGCTTTGCTGGATGGCAGCCCCCTTACTTAAGTTTGGCCCTTGACAAAACCGCCAGTGGAGCCATCATGTGGCAAACATGATTGGAAATCATTGAGACCACGGAAGAACTGTGGGTACCTAGGAATTCATCTCTCAGACCCCAAGAGGGACCCAGAGAAAGGCCACCCCTCCCCTCCCCCAGGCTGTACTTCCTGAGCCAGGGCACAATGCTCTGGCCACCTGGGCCAACCTAAGACACCCTGTAAAGCCACTCCTCAGATGAGCCAATGCCTCCTCCAGCCTGGTATTTTCTTTGCCTCCTTTTCTTTCCCCCAAATAACCAGACTATTCCATGTTTTGCCTCAAGGAGCGTGTATGAAAGCAGAAAGCAGAGACAAAATGAGCCTCTTCCCTTAGAGGAAGAGAAAAGACTCCTGGCTAACCCAGACTGAAGTGTAGGAGAGGATGTTCATGAGAAGGCTCAAGGCTGTCCCCTACCCCTCATTCAAGGCTGCATGGAAACATGGAGGGGGACTCTGAGCTCCACAATGACTTGCAGGCACCAATGAACAAGGACTATATGGAACAAGAACAAATGACATCAAGTGTAGGGACCTATGTAGGTCCCTAAGAGTCGAGAATGCTGCAGTGCACCCCACTCCGACCCCAAAATGGAAACCACGAGGGACACTCAGAACAGACAGGGATTAAGTGTCAGCACCTTTTAAAAATGAGGGTTCAAAATAGAGATGAAGAGTTTTAGAAACTCATGTTTCTTACAACCTTGAGTGCAGGGACCAAAACTGGTATTCCAAAGGATAGATTTTTAAAGAAAATAGTGTTGGGGAAACGTACTATTTCAAAAGTTACACTTAGAGGAGAAGTCTGGGCAGCAGACAAAGGCAGAAACCTAATCATTTGTTGGACTCAGCACATTTATCTCTGCTCTGAAATCAAATGTGATTGTCCCTTAATACTGGGGTTGAACTTGCAGCCCAGGTTGCCTTGGACAATCACCAGGTGCCCTGTTGTCTTGGCTTCATTATCAGCAGTGCCCTCTTTCATTCTCAAAAGGGATGCAGTCTGGGCAGTAAGTTATATGGTTACTCTGCTCAAGATTTTTAAATGAGTGATCCCATGGGCTGGCCAACTCTGAGTGAGGTGCTATGAAATAGAAAGTAAGGATTTCTAGGCAGGGGTGGCTGGAGGCTGTGGGACAATGAAGCTCTGGATGGGCTGAGAATCTCACCCGGACAGAAAAGCAAGGGGCACGTGTTACCTGATGAGAGGAGTTGTGGTGAGGTTGAAGGTCAGGTGCTGTGCAGAGTTGAGAGGACAGTGGTGGGGGTCAGAGTGGAATGTTTGAACTTAATATTTCAGACATGGGGTAGTGCAGGGTAATGGCATGGTCTGAGTTATGACCACGAGAGCAGGTAGGAGAAATGGAACCTCATTGCATTTGGGGATAGGAATTGGGCAACTAACAAGAGACATGGAAGCAGGACTGGCTACTCTATACCTTTTTGCTCCTATTGAATTTTGAATCTTTTTACTATATTATCTTTTCAAAAATACATAAATAAAATTAAAATATAAAGGAATCCAGGCTTCTAGGTCAACAGTGGAATCATTTTATCAAGTTTTTAAAGCCCCACCAGTAAAACAAGTTGCCTTTAAACATTTGAAAAGATGCTCAACCTTACTCACTTATAAAAAAGAAAAATAGGGAAATTAGAGCCACAGTGAAATATCATTTTTCACCTTCAGATTGGCAAATATCAAAAGGTTTCGCAACAGCAAGAGTGGAAGGAAATGGGTCCTCTTCCACACAGCAGTTGGACAGACGGCAGATGGGTACAGGCTCTACGGCACCACTTCGGCAATATTCATAACACCTGAAAATGCACATACCTTTGGGTAGCAGCTATTCCTGTGTAGAAAGTTATCTTACAGATACACTCCGACCTGTGGGCAAAGACACATATGTGGTTTGAGGCAGTTACTCACCTTCCTGCACTTATGTCAGAGGGTTATCAGGGGAATTAAATGATGTAACGCATGGAAAGGAAGTTAAAGAAAGCCTGGCACATAGTAAGTGCTCAGTAAATGCCAGCTGTTATTATTACAGCATTGTTCATGACAGCAAAACACTGGAAACAACACGAATGTCGATATATCAAGAGGGGACTGATAAAATAAGTTTTGTCTTACATTGAAAATTCACAAAGATTTTAAATACAATGAGGATATTCTTTAAACAGTGCTATGGAATGATCTTTTAAAAATGTTGTTAAATGGAAAAAAAACAAAGTGTAGAGGAATGCTTGTGATTTGTCACTATTTGTGTGTGGGGTGTGCCTAGAGGTGCACAGTCTCTCCAGGGATGAAGTCACAAGAAACTGGTAACAGTGATGATTCCTGGGAGGGACAGTGAGAGGCAGGAGCTCAAGGGCTACTGTATAACCTCTTGTACCTTTTATATTGTCCATCATAGGGATGTATTCTCTAGTCAAAAACAATTAAACAAATTGGGGTATATGTCCACAATGTTGAAAGCAGGGACTCAAATAGATACTTGTATGCCATTGTTTGTAGCAGCATTATTCACAATAACCAAAAGGTGGAGACAACCCAAATGTTTATTGATAGGTGAATGTATAAACAAAGTGTGGTTTATCTATACAATGGAATACTATTCAGCCTTAAAAAGGAAGGAGAGTCTGACACATGCTAAAACATGGATGAAACTTGAAGACATTAAGTGAAATAAGCCCGTCACAAAAGGACAAATACTTGTATGATTCCACTTCTATGAGATACTTAGAATAGCCAAATTCATAGAAACAGAAAACAGAATAGTGATTACCTGAGACTAGAAGGAAGGAGAAATGGGGAGTTAGTGTTTAATGGGTACAGAGTTTCTGCCGGAGATGATAAAAAAGTTCTGGAGATGGATGGTGGTGCAACAAAGTGAATTTACTTAATGCCACTGAATTGTACACTCAAAAATGGTTAAAACGGTAAACTTTATATTATGTACATTTTATCACAAAAAACAATTAAATAATTTTAATAATAAAAATAGTCATTTTTAAAATTTTGATCGGAGTTATGTTAAATGCAGAGATTAATTATGAGGAGCTGTATCGAATGAGCCACAACAAAGAATGGTGCTATCGAAAAAAGGACTCGGTCTCCAAATCCTGGCATTTTTCCATGCCAGTTTCTCCTGTTCCGCTGAATGGCTCTTGGGGGATTCATGGTACAGAGCAGAGGTGACAGGCTGAGCCAGGACCATGGGAGGAGGGCAGCTTCATCCAAGACAGGGAAGAAAATGGAAGGGAAGAGGTGATGGTTGGGGCAGAAGTAGAGGAAATTCCTGCCAGACCACATAGACTTTCTCCATGAGGAATGTTGGGGGTAGATTTTGAGGGGGCTAGAAAAGCTTGGTCTTTGAGGGGAATCACAGAGGGGCCAGACCAGGGATGAGTAAAAGAACCACCACTTTCCTCTGAGGAGCCTGGTGACGCTGGAGATCACAAATGTGTAGAGAGAATTTCCTCTCCTCTCGCCTCTTCTCCCTCCCCAGGCAACAACGTTGAAGGGGTTGCAGACCCCTGGTAGCTAAATAAGTGAGGAAGACCAGACTCCCCATCCAGACCACCAGCTACCATAGGCTTCTCTTCTTCAACAACACCAAGCTGGGATTGGGAAGAGGCCTCAGTTTTAAGTTGAAACTGAAGTTTGGGTTATTATTGGGATGGACATGATCATTACTGAAATAAGACTGAGACCAAGGGTGACCAGAACAATCATGTGACTTGTCTAAATTTCATCCAGTGGCAGAGCAAGATCTAGACCTACAGAATAAATTTAAAAAGCAACAAGAGGGGCTTCCCTGGTGGCGCAGTGGTTGAGAATCCGCCTGCCATTGCAGGGGACACGGGTTCGATCCCTGGTCTGGGAAGATCCCACATGCCGCGGAGCAACTAAGCCCGTGCTCCACAACTACTGAGCCCGCGTGCCGCAACTACTGAAACCCGCACGCCTAGAGTCCGTGTTCCACGACGAGAGAAGCCTCCGCAATGAGAAGCCCGCGCACTGCAAGGAAGAGTAGCCCCCTCTCGCTGCCACTAGAGAAAGCCTGCGCTGCAACGAAGACCCAACGCAGCCAAATATAAATAAATTAATTTTTAAAAAAAGCAACAAGAGGCAGAAATCAAGTTACTTTCTGATTTTATCTGATGAGTCATGCTTATTCAATGGAATAGTTATACAGTATTATTTTCAGTTGTTAACTGAAATGCATGCATCTTGCATCTCCCCCTAGATTGTAAGTTCACTGAAGGCAGGTCCCATGTGCTATTTATCCTCATACTGCCCCCACAGCCTAGCAAAGTGCCTTGTATGTACACAGTGGGCACTGAAATGGCTGCTGACCAAGAGGGCTTACCCCATAGGAAGCAGCACCGGGCCATTAGTGTGCTTATACAGTACCTAGCACAGAGCAGGTGAGCAACAAGACCTGGTTGAGTTGACATGACTCTTCCTAAAGAGAGAGCCTGTGTTCTAGGAAGTGTGATATAAAATGATGTTGCTCTCACACCAGTCAGAATGGGCATCATCAAAAAATCTACAAACAACAAATGCTGGAGAGGGTGTGGAGAAAAGGGAACCCTCTCACACTGCTGGTGGGAATGTGAATTGGTACAGCCACTATGGAGAACAGTATGGAGGTTCCTTAAAAAACTACAAATAGAACTACCATACGACCCAGCAATCCCACTACTGGGCATATGCCCTGAGAAAACCATAATTCAAAGAGAGTCACATACCAAAATCTTCATTGCAGCTCTATTTACAATAGCTAGGGCATGGAATCAACCTAAGTGTCCATGGACAGATGAATGGATAAAGAAGATGTGGCACATATATACAATGGAATATTACTCAGCCATAAAAAGAAATGAAATTGAGTTATTTGTAGTGAGGTGGATGGACCTAGAGTCTGTCATACGGAGTGAAGTAAGTCAGAAAGAGAAAAACAAATACCATATGCTAACATATATATATGGAATCTAAAAAACAACAAAAAAATGGTCATGAAGAACCTAGGGGCAAGACGGGAATAAAGATGCAGACCTACTAGAGAATAGACTTGAGGATATGGGGAGGGGGAAGGGTAAGCTGGGACAAAGTGAGAGAGTGGCATGGACATATATACACTACCAAACATAAAATAGATAGGTAGTGGGAAGCAGCCGCATAGCACAGGGAGATCAGATAGGTGCTTTGTGACCACCTAGAGGGGTGGGATAGGGAGGGTGGGAGGGAGGGAGACGCAAGAGGGAAGAGATATGGGAACATATGTATATGTATAACTGATTCACTTTGTTATAAAGCAGAAACTAACACACCATTGTAAAGCAACTATACTCCAATAAAGATGTTTAGGGCTTCCCTGGTGGCGCAGTGGTTGAGAGTCCGCCTGCCAATGCACGGGACACGGGTTCGTGCCCCGGTTTGGGAAGATCCCACATGCCGCGGAGCGGCTGGGCCCGTGGGCCATGGCCGCTGAGCCTGCGCGTCCGGAGCCTGTGCTCCGCAACGGGAGTAGGCCACAACAGTGAGAGACGCGCGTACCGCAAAAAAAAAAAAAAAAAAAAAAAGATGTTTAAAAAAATAAAATAAAATGATGTTGCAGGTTGCCCAGACTTAAGGTAAAAGAGGCAGAGATGAAGGAGGTATGGATGGTCATTTTCTATTTCTCTGTTAGGGCTGTTCTTGTACTGGATTAAGGAGAGGAAGGCTAAACCACAAGAGGAGGGTGAGTCAGACCTAGTTTACAACCTGTTATACCAGAAGTGAGTATTGCAGTGCCTTATTAGGCCTCAAACCAAGCTGAATTCATTTTTTATTAAGAGACTCTTAAAGGGCTCCTGTCCTCAAGGTTATATAAAATCATCCCCATCATGTACTTTTGAGATAATAAATCAGTAGAAGCACAGAGCCCAATTCTTTAGATAGGGAAGTATATCTCAAGTAGCTCAAGGAGCAACCATTTCTACAATGAAGGTTGAGAAAAGGAAACCCGAGACCAGTTGATTCTGGTTTGGGGAGTGATAACATTGGAGAACACACTCTACTGTCTGATTCTTGTCATGACATCACTCATGCTGAAGTTATCTCCTTTGTTGGCATGGCCTCCATCCCTGTTGGGAGGTAAAAGAGGTGTTTGAGTGGCTCCATTACTAAGTTTAAGTAGTTGATTACTGCCTCTCTGGGAAAATGAACTTGACTGAAAGGAGAGTGGGCAAGCATTCAGTCAAGCAACAAACCACTTACTGAGTGCCTGCAATTGATGGGGAAAGATGTTCTGTCCTTAGACTGGTCCATCCAAAATAAGTTGGGAGGTGAGAGGGAGAAAGACCATAGTTGGTGGGTCTTTGGGGTACTCCTGAGGTAATACCTCAGGTCATGAGCTTACAGCTCAGTTCCAAATTCCAGGATGCCTGCTTAGAGAGACAGTAAAACACACTTTCTCAGGGACAAAAGCGCACAGAGCCAAGGGCTCAGGGTTTCTGAGTCAGAATTTCATCAAGGGCTGGGTGACACTTTCTTTAGAAAGCCATCTGATCTCCAGGGGTCCTGATACACAAGAACTATGCAGCCTGTTCCATCTAGGGAGACAGATGTGGACTCGGCGCCCCCTCCCCCGGCCTCTCATGCATCCCTCCCTCTTACTGCCTCAAGAGCCCCAGAAGCGGGTCCTTCATAAAAGGGTGCATCCCTCAGGCCTGAAAGCTTAGCTGAAGTGGGGATTTTTGTACAAGTCCCATGTTTCCTGGATTTTTAGGAGACTCCAAAAAGATGCTATGAATAATCATTACTGAACTGGAAGAAGCGTGAAGCAGGCACAGGACCAACCTCTGTGACTTCCATGGCTGAAAAGCATGGATTTAAGA